GCCTGCCAAGCCTGCGGGTCCTCTTGCTCGGCAGCAAAGGCTGTTAATTTCCGATAGTCGCTGGTAACACCCCGCGTCACCGGCGAGGGGATCTTCGCGAGGACATCCTCGTTCGTCGACAACGTCTTGATGCCCGCGACCATCTTGCTGATCGGCGCGTCCTTCCAGCGGGGCTGCACCGAGGCGAACGGCTTCAGGTCCAACAACGCGTGGCCCGGGGACCATTCCTGCAGGGCGTCGAAGCGCGAGAGGTCGTCAAGTAAGTACGTGAACTTCGTGGTGTCCGACTGCTCTCCGAGCAAGGTCTTCATCACCACGAGCGCCTTGCTCCTGTTCTCATCCAAGGCACTCTGGGACTGCGAATCGGCGCCCGCAGAGGTCAACAGCGAAGAGATCTTGGCCACTCTCTCCGCGTTCGCCATCCCGCAAGCTGCCATCAGGTCGCTATAGATCTTCTCGTTGTTGGCTTTCTGGAACCCACGCATGAGAGGCGACGTCTGGAAGCGGTGCGACTTCTTCCCGAGCAGCCCTGGTACACGCACCGCCTGAGTGCCCCCGAGCGGCGTCGCCTGGAGCACGACGATCCCCTGCCCATACACCGACAGCGCATCTGGGTACAGCGCCTCGCACTCTTTCAGGAAAGGCGCAAAAGTAGGGAGGTGCGGGTAGCTATCCTTGTCCAAGAGGCAGTCCTCCACGATGAAGTCGATGAACATCTTCAGGTGGGCGGGGATGCTCTTCTGGTCTGGCTCCGCCCTCTTGGCCTCCTGCAGGCACTCCAGGAACTCGCCGCACCAAAAGAACAAGTTCTCATTCGATGCTTTGTTGTCTGACGTGAACCGGCCTTTCGCTGCCTCCCTCTGGGCGGACATGGCGATCTCCTCCAGCGAGCACTTGTCCTTGGGGTCGGACGCGCGGTCCCGCAGCACCCTCGGAGCCGCAGGGCTCGGGGCACCCTGGGCCGGGGTGGCGCCCGAGGGGCCCGGCATTGAGGCCGCAGGCGCAGGGCTCGGGGCACTCGGAGCCGGGGCGGCGCCCGCGTCGCTGGAGGGGCCTGGGGAGGTGGCCCCCGAGGCGCGCGGCACTGAAGCCGCAGGCGGGTCTGGCGCGGACCCGTCCGTCAAGGCCGCCGCGGAGCTGGGCTCCCACTCCTCCTTCTCGCCAATCTTCGCGTGCCATTCAAAGACGCCTGGTCCGAGATCGTTCTGGGCGATTCCTGAATCGAAGGCCCACACCTCGTCCCTCTTGAGTCCTCGCGGGAATTTCTCGAGGGAGCGCGGGTCGATGTGCCACTTCACCGGAACGGTCGTTCCAGCTTCAGGGTTCAAGCATTTCTTCTGGAGCCACACTTTGCGAAGGAGGTAGTCTTCCTGAACTTCTGTGACTTTGGCAAGCGCCCTGCGGACGTCCGCAGCGTACACGCGCTCCTTGTGCCTGCGGGGCACCAACAGAAGCTTGCACGTGTCATCGTCATCCGCCATCTTCCACCCGCGAAGGGCCTTACGAGCAGAGTCCCACTGATCCGCGCTCGGCTCGAGCGCTGCCTTCTGCTCTCTGATCTGCTGGGTGGACAGATTATCCAATCTGCTTCGGCTCATGGCGGCGACCTCCAGACACGGTACCGCCGCAACACAGGTGAGTGATCCACACAAATCGCAAGAAGCTCTTGAGCCAAAATGTTATCGCGGACATATTGGGTTCATTTGTTTTTGCGTTGCTCATTTTCTTCGCTACTTGACTTGACCGCATTGCGTTGTTTCCGTTTCGTTTTGTCGTTGTTGTTTCCTCTGCTTGGTGAGTTGTTGATTTTTCTTGTTTGTTTTTCTTCGTTTCCTTCTCCGCGATCGTTTTATTGTTTCATTTTTGTTGTTTGGCTTCTGTTTTTTAACTTCCCGAGATGGATGTGGAACCCGAAGGAGTGGCCCCCAAAAAAACCCAAAGGAGGCGCCTTGCGGGGCAGGGGCCCGATATCCGGAAATCCTGGGAGCCACCGAGGAGCCCGAAAAGGAGGTCCAAAAGGTGAGCACTCCTACTCACTCGAAGCTTGTCTCCACGCTGAACCCGAAGGGCCGGCCCGAAAGAGCCCCAAAGGAGGCGCCTTGCAGGGCAGGGGTCCCAAACCCGGAGGTCCTGGGAGCCAAAAAGGAGCCCGAAAAGAAGATCCAAAAGGGGCCCTCCTACTCACCCGAAGCATGTCTCCGAAGACTCGTCGTCGTTTCTGGATGGGCTCGCGCGGTCACGCGAAGCGTTCAGAATATAACCCTCTCGTTGCTCTTCAGGACGGAGGGGGTCCACGACTACGACGAAGAGTCCTTTCTGATGCTCCTGTTGTTCACTGCACTCCCAAGCGACCCACACGTGTGGGGACAGTGAGGACAGTGCCGAGAGCGTGCAGGTGAATCACGAACACGCCTCGAAAAGGAAAGGGACGAGAGAGAGACCCTCATCCAACAAGGGGCACTCTCCGCGCCGTGCGCGGGGCCGGGGAGCAACGGTGCGAGGGTCACTAACGGCGCACCGCCGGGCAGTCCCCACTCGCACCGCGCCCCCCGTTGGGTAGACAAACCCACGCCTGTACTACCGCCCACTATGCAGGTGCCTCGGGCTCGGGCGCCTGCTGCGACGCAGGCTCCCCGAGCTCCGAGAAGACGAGCGGCTCGAGGGGCTCGCCCGTCTTGGAATGCAGGCCCCTTCGAGCCTGCTCGAGCATCGACGCGATGGCTCCGTCCCCCCCACTCCCAGCTCCCGCCGACCCCGGGGCAGCGCTCCTTCCGAAGAGGAGGAGAGAAGGGGGGAAGGAAGGGGAAGGGGCAGAAAGGTATACAAAGTGACTGCAACTTGCCTGCCAAACATACCGGGTACGTCAGCCCGGATACGAAGAGGAAGACGAACCCCTCTTCCGAGGGTGGCTGCACAGCAACATTTCCCGCGATCGGTTATCCACCCCAGCGGCGGCGGCGGCGGCGGCGGCGGCGACGACGACGACGACGACGGCGGCGGCGACGACGACGACGACGACGACGACGGCGAGGCGACGACGGCGACGGCGACGGCGACGACGACGACGACGACGACGACGACGGCGGCGGCGACGGCGACGACGACAACGGCGCTGACGACGAACCCCTCTTCCGAGGGCGGCTGCACAGCAACATTTCCCGCGATCAGCTCTCCACCCCAGCGGAAGCGGCGGCGGCGGCGACGACGACGACGACGACGAAGACGGCGACGACGGCGACGACGACGACGACGACGACGACGGCGGCGGCGGCGGCGGCGGCGACGACGACGACCGCGCCGGCGGCGGCGACGGCGGCGACGACGACGACGACGACGACGACGACGACGACGACGACGACGACGACGGCGGCGACGACGGCGACGACGACGACGACGACGACGACGACGAGGACGACGACGACGAACCCCTCTTCCGAGGGCGGCTGCACAGCAACATTTCCCGCGATCGGTTCTCCACCCCAGTGGAAGCGGCGGCGGCGGCGACGGCGACGACCAGACGACGGCGAGACGACGAACCCCTCTTCCGAGGGCGGCTGCACAGCAACATTTCCCGATCGGTTCTCCACCCCAGCGGGAGCGGCGGCGGCGGCGGGGGACGACGACGACGACGACGACGACGACGGCGGCGGCGGCGGCGGCGACGACGACGACCGCGCCGGCGGCGGCGACGGCGACGCGACGACGACGACGACGACGACGACGACGACGACGACGGACGGCGACGACGGCGACGACGACGACGACGACGACGACGACGACGACGACGACGACGAACCCCTCTTCCGAGGGCGGCTGCACAGCAACATTTCCCGCGATCGGTTCTCCGCCCCAGTGGAAGCGGCGGCGGCGGCGACGGCGACGACCAGACGACGGCGAGACGACGAACCCCTCTTCCGAGGGCGGCTGCACAGCAACATTTCCCGATCGGTTCTCCACCCCAGCGGGAGCGGCGGCGGCGGCGGGGACGACGACGACGACGACGACGACGACGACGACGACGGCGGCGGCGGCGGCGACGACGACGACCGCGCCGGCGGCGGCGACGGCGGCGACGACGACGACGACGACGACGACGACGACGACGACGACGACGACGACGACGACGGCGGCGACGACGACGACGACGACGACGACGACGACGACGACCGCGGCGGCGGCGGCGACGACGAGTCCCTGGGGCCCCGGCAGGCGCCAGGCTTCCTCCTTACGGCAGCCTCACGTCACAGACGGCACAGAGCGTGGTCGCCGCCGGCGCCGGGCGTCGTCGTCGCCGTCGCCGTCGTCGTCGCCGCCGTCGCCGTCGCCGCCGCCGCCGTCACCGCCGCCGCCGCCGCCACTGTCATCGTCGTCGTCGCGGCCGTCGTCGTCGCCGACGTCGTCGTGGTCGTGGTCGTGGTCGTGGTCGTCGTCGTGGTCGCTTTCGTGGTCGTGGTCGTGGTCGTGGTCGTGGTCGTGGTCGTCGTCGTCGTCGTCGTCGTCGTCGTCGTCGTCGTCGTCGTCGTCGCCGCCGCCGTCGTCGTCGTCGTCGTCGTCGTCGTCGTCGTCGCCGTCGTCGTCGTCGTCGTCGTGGTCGTCTTCGTCGTCGTCGTCGTCGTCGTCGTCGTCGTCGTCGTCGTCGTCGCCGCCGCCGCCGTCGTCGTCGTCGTCGTCGTCGTCGTCGTCGTCGTCGTCGTGGTCGTCGCACGGCACACGGCACGCGGCGCACGGCACGGAGAGGCACCGTACCGCACCACGCGGCACGGCACAGCCCCACGCGGCACGGCGCGCGGCTGGGCACCGCAAGGCACGGCGCAGCACCACAAAGCACCAGAGCGCGAAAGCACCGCAGGGCACGGAATCCAGCACCAGCCGACACGGCACGGAGCGCAAGGCACAGCACCGCGCGGCACGGCCCGCGCCTATTCCAGCACTATACGGCGCTATTCCGGCGCTATACGGCGCTATTCCGGCGCTATTCCGGCGCTACACGGCGCCATTCCGGCCTTTTCCAAGCAATCCGCGAAACTGAAGACAATAAGGGACTTATAAAGCCGAATAGCGCCAGACAGGGTCCTTCCAGGAACGTCTGTGCTCCACTGTAACCACGGCGCGCGCCGGTCACAGGCCGCTCAGCCACCGCTTCACTGCCCCAGCAGGGCCCGGATCGAGGACCTTGCACCCGTGGCCCGTCCACTTCTTGAAGAGACCGGACAGGGAAGGTGGCACGCGAGGCGCCCCGTCCAGCGTGGTGGCGGACCTGTGGAAGTGAGTGGAGACCACGACTTTGTTGAAGTCATTGCTTCCGAAGTTGTGGTCGCCCTTGGCCCCCGCGGCGCGGAACCGAGTGCGGAGCGCAAAGGCATTGCCTTTTGCATCTACGTACTGCTTCTTGTCGCCCTTCCTAGCCTTGCGGTACCAGCAGTCGGGCCTGCCGAGGCCAACCTTCGTGTAGTACTGCACCGCCGGGTACACCTTGTCAGCCAAGCAGGCGGCGACCAAGGCCCTCTCCCCGTTCAAACCTTCCACAGCGTCCAGGAACGCTGCTGGTCGCATGCGCGGGGACGGCTTCCCCGTGACCACAACGAGCAGGTCGTCCTTGCGGCACGCCCGCCGCAAAGGCCCATGGCAAAGGGCCAGCGACAGCTTCCTGCCATGGACGCTCTGGCCGCGCCCCGAGTTCCGACGGGCGACAGACACGATCACGCGAGCACCTGCCTTTGGCCGCACGGGGCCGCCAGAAGTGCGCTGCACCACGTGCCAGTGCCTCGCCGAGGCCGCCTTCAGGGCGCTCTCTGCGTAAGCTCGGGATCTAGCGGCCCGCACGCGCGCCCTGATGTCCCGGAGGGCTTTCCTCATCCCGGTCACTGTGCGAGCCTGACGCAGACGGGCTTCTGCCCAATCGTGCAGCCGGCCGGTCGGCACGCGGACCTCGTACTGCTTGCCCCGGAAGCGTCTGCGGCATCTCTCTGGCATGCCCACTGGCGGCAAGGATCCCGCGGAGGGACGCGCCGGCAAGTACCCCTTGGAGGGGCGCGCCTTGAGCCAGAATGGCTACAAGGAGAAGTTTGGGGAGGGGGAAGGACTTGGTAAGTGCGCTCAGGTCATACCTGACGTTGCGTGGAGTTCTGTGACTGCCTACCACGCTAACTTTACCCCTAGAAAGGGATCCTTTTGGACAGGGCTCCAGCATGGGTACTCGCCATTCTGGCTCTTGTTCGCACAGCACGGCACAGCATGGCGTAGAAGAGCGCGGCAGAGAGTAGCTCGCCATGTCATGGCGCGGCCTTATGTATAAGGTGAAGGGGGAGGAGGAGGAGGAGGAAGAGGAGGAGGAGGAGGAGGAGGAGGACAAGGAGGATGATAAGGAGGAGGAGGAGGACAAGGAGGAGGATCAGGAGAAGGAGGATGAGGAGGAGGAGGAGGAGGAGGGGCAACAGCAGGAGCAGGGGCAGGAGCAGGAGGGCGAGGAGAAGGAAGAACAGGGGGGGCCCGCCCCCTTCATACGCCCACTTCCCACCCCAGTCGGTGCCGCTCATTTTTCATGCGGGCGCCCCACCACTTACAGGACAGACGGAGCAAATAACCGAAGCTTTGCATCCGCAGCTGCGTTGCCCGTGCCGCCTCCAGCCACCTGGAGGTCAACGATCTCTCGCCGGAGCCGGTCCTCCGCGGCCTCCCACCAGGCTAACCTGCATGCCTTGCGCCGGTGCCACCCATGCGTCTTGGCCCGCCACAGCATCCAAGACTGAAGAACCATGTAGGTCCGCTTGGGGGCCTCGGCGGACTCGCCGAAGTGATGAGGTCGGCACCGGAAACTATAATTCAAATCAGTGAGTTCGTGGTCCTTCCGCCACCGAGGAAGAATGGTTATGACGACGTCTGGCCATTTCGGGTGGTTCGTGGTGGTGAAATACCCGTTGCTATCCGCCACCGTGCCCTCGGCACGACGTGGAGTGCTCCAAAGCCCATGCGGCCTCGAGACATCGAATGCACCCCTCACGAGGATCGCAGCCTTCGACCCGCGCCTAGAAGCCCCCGAGATGCCGCAAGAGACACCAGGGGCCCTCAAGACGACCCCAAGGATCCCCACAAGGGCCCCAAAGAGGCCTCGAAACTGCCTCCCTGGGGCCCCAAATAATCCATGAGGTCTCTGACCCACTCCGGGCACGGCGGCGGGATAGGCCGAAGGCGACTAGATACTCTGGCACCGTCCAGGTGCCAGGAGGCATCCTCGCATCCGCCTCCTCATCGTCAGACACGTGCGGCGCCTCAGGCAGCACGGGATCTGCCTCGGGCCCAGCAGCGGCCTCCTCCTCCTCGGCCACGGCTTCCACGTCAGACTCAAAGTCCGAAACCACAGATCCCCACTCAGAGGGTGTTGCGCATCCCTCGGCCTCCGCATCGTCCGTGAACGCGTCCGCGGCCCCGTCGTCCTCGTCCGCGCACCCCACCTTCGAGTCGCCCTTGGGTCGCCGCGCGCGCTCCTGCGGAACGGGCGCGGGGACTTCGACAGGACCGCCGAGCGCGAGCTCGGCAAAGGGCCAGGCAATCGAAACGTCTACGGCATCCATGCGAAACACTTCCGAGTCTCCAGGCAGGGCCAACTCAGACATCACGTCTTTCAGGGGCCGCAGCTGCCCATAGAGCAGGACGCCCATGTTTAATCGGTAGGTTGCCTCGGAATCATCCTTCTCCTCCAAGATACACCCCCAAGGCTGATACCGCAGCGTGGCTGCATACAAGACAAGTTTCTCGTCGAGCCTCGGCCCGTACTTCACGGCAAACACGCCCGCGTCTGCGGTCATGATCTTGCGCAGCCACATCGGCAGCGGACCGGATGTCGGCTTCGGGTAGATCCGCGGACAGTGGGGCAACGCCTCGGTGGCTATCAAGCGGTGGGAGAGCGAGCGCCGGCTGGCGCTGGCTGTCTTGATCAGGGCGTCGACGTGAGCCGTATTTTTCTCCACGAACTGAATCCACTCAGCCGTGGAATACGGCATACTTGGCTCCAGGACCAAGTCGGCCTCGGCATGGTCGGCATCACGTCTCCTTTCGAGCTCCGCGAGGTTCGCGGCAATATACTCATGCAAAGCACCGTGGTCCCCCTCGTGGACGATTTCCCGCCTCTGCGCCGCGGTAACGCCCGTTCCTGTCTAAGTTGGCCCCGGGGACTGCGGAGCCAGGCTGCGTTGTCCTGTACAGCAAGAGCCCAAACGTTGCTGAACCGTTTCCGCTTGGCCCGCGCAGCGCTCTCCCGCATCTGCCGCAAAGCCGCCGTCCGCCGACGTCCGCAATGGCGAAGCAGCACGTTCCGAGACGCCGTTGAAACGGAGGACAGCTTCCGCGCCTCACCCTTTTTAGCAACATTATGTTTGCGTTCTGCATCCAAGTCATGGGCCGATGAGTTTTTGAAAATATCCTGGAGCTCGCGCTGCACGCTGTCGGAAGTGAGGTGCTCGATAGCGCGCTGCCTATCCCCAGTCGCAGTGGCTTCCTGTCGCAGCGGCAAAGAATATCCGTAATCGAGCAGAGACTCGTCGACGTCGAGGAAGTCTTTGACAGCGTCCTGGTAGCCAACCGAATTGTAAGACTTGCACATCAGGCACAACTTGTTTGGAAATTGTCGGCATTGCTCGCAACGCATGATTACATGCGACTGCGTCTTCAGTAATCCCAAGAATGTCGCAGATACGTCTAGCAAGGGATCCGCGTGTAGCAACCGAACAATATCCTGTAACAGAAGCGACGTGCGCCGCTGCACCTCCCCGAATGCCAGCTTAACGAGCACGGGGACCGCGTCAGAAGTTGTTTTCCGAGCCGAAAGATTCACGGCAAACTGCGTGAGCCGCAGGCACAGCGCAGCTTTCCGCAGATATGTATCACTAAGTGGGTCGCTCCACCATTTCTGAAACGCCTTCAACCGATTACTACTCTCAGAAGTGCAGGATAAGTCGAACATACTTGCAGGCAAACGCAACACCGACATCCTCACGAAACAAAACACACAAGAGGTGAAAAGCCAGAACCGTGTTATCACCGGCCGTTCCTCCACTTGGAGCACGTGTCTATAAAGAACTTGATACACGCGGGCACGAACAGATGACAACTCCTCGTTGTCTGGGCAGGGGCAGGTCCACCCGGACAAATTAGAAGGGAAAATATCAACCAAACTGTCGGGGAACACATCCTTTCCGTAAAGCCGTTGCATGTTCAAGACGGCCTCGCTTGGCGGCGGCGCCGCGGCCTTCTCGTCATACCGATCGAACTGCAGAGTTGATGCGATGTGGTGCCGCAAGGCAGTCGCGAATTGGTCACAGTGTTCTGCAAGGAGATACTTAAAAAATCTCGAGCAGTTGGCCGCCAAGTCGTTTTCCTCAAGTGGGCGGGATAAAAGCTTCCCACACAAAGCCACCTCGACCACCAGATTGGCCTGGTGGCTCGCACAGCGCCACGTTATCAAACGATATTGAAGAATGCCGCCTGCACGGCGGCCGTAATGTTCAAAAAGACGTTTGGCCGCCGCCTCGTTGGTGTTGATTCCGTCTCCGATGAGGAGATGCACAACTCTGACGGCACGCTGGGGTAGAGCAGCCAGGATTTTCATAATACCTTGAACAGCATCAATCAAAGCCAAACCTAGAGTGTCACCGTCTTTCCGGCCCAAGGCCTGCATCTCAGACAGCCATTCCAACCGCTGTTCACCCATGCCGATTGTGATACAACTGTTCTGTATCTTAGAATATCTGGACCGCGTGAACAATGCGCTCCCCACGGCGGCCGACCGTGGCAGAGCGAAGCTCGCGTCTTCAACAACTGGCGTGCTCCTCAGCCGCATGCTTGCTTCATCGTGGATATGCTGAATAAAGAACGGTGTTCCGCCGACGTTCGTTGCCGACAAACGCTCGAGCTCCTGCCCATTCAGCTCTTTCAACAACTCCGCAAAAGCATCACGGGCACGTGCAACGTAGCAATGGCTCACCCCTGAGACCGCGCCAGCGCCAGGCTCTTCAGGGAACTGCGACAGAAAGTCCGCCATTGTGCGCTGAGGCACGCCGGGGGGGCTTAAGCCTGCTCGCACCAGCCATATTGCACGCATGCGCCCCCCCACTTTTGTTGTTTTTTCAGCATCGAGCCTATCTTGAAGCTTCGTGTGCGCCTTTTTCTGATACTTGAGCGTGTTCTGTAACCGCGCTAACTCCGCTTGCACATCCGACGCGGACTGCGAGGTGGCAGATGAGCGAGATCGTTGTTGCAAACTCGGCGCATCGAACTGTTGATCGATAACTTGCCACAGCTCGGCGATGCGATGCAGGAGAACATCCCCGTCGATTTGGCGCGATCTCACAGCTTCGGCTTCAGACGTCAATCTTTGCGCTAAAACATCCAAGCTGTGCAAAACAGTATTCACATCTTTGCACAAAGATTCCATGGTGTCGGCAGTCGCACGCCCCCCCAAAATGCGGGCGCGCCCAAACAGTGACCAAAGCGCAAGAAGCCGTTGAGCCAAAATGTTGTCGCGGACATATTGTGTTCATTTGCCTTTGGCGTTGTTCATTTTCTTCGTTTGGGTATCGTTTTTGAACTCGTTGTGTGTTTCCTGTTTCTTGTTGCACTGTTTACTACTGCTTGTTTCTCTTCGTTTCCTTCTCAGCGATCGGTTTTATTGCTTCATTGTTTTTTGCATTGTTTACGTTGCCCGAAATGGATGTGGAACCCGAGGGAGCGGCCCCAAAAGATCCCCAAAGGAGGCGCCTTGCAGGGCAGGGGTCCCAAACCCGGAACTCCCGGGAGCCGCCGAGGGGCCCGAAAAAGAAGTCCAAAAGGAGAGCACTCCCACTCACCCGAAGCTCGCCTCTGGAACCCGAAGGGCTGGCCCAAAAGAGCCCCAAAGGAGGCGCCTTGCAGGGCAGGGGCCCCAAACCCGGAGGTCCTGGGAGCCACAAAGGAGCCCGAAAAGAAGGTCCAAAAGGGGCCCTCCTACTCACCCGAAGCTTGTCTCCGAAGACTCGTCGTCGTTTCTGGATGCGCTCGTGCGGTTACGCGAAGCGTTCAG